CGCTGGCAGGGGTCTCCACACGGCTGCTCCAGCAACCAAGGCTGCATCAGGGTAAGTCCATGTGGCTTCTCCTCAGGGATGTCTTGCAGAAAGTGAGCCTTGCCAGCTGAAGCAGGAACTGGCTAAGGCAGCTTCACCCTGATCCAAGCATCACAAAGCAAGAGACCTGAGAACTGAAAAGGTGAGGCTCACTGAGCCATTTATCCCTCTGCCCTTCAATTAACCCCACATGTACTTATTGGCCAGGTTGGTTCAATTCACTACCTCAAAAGAGTACTTGAGTAGAGGCTGGGCAGTGGTTTAGAAAAAGATCCCAGTAACTTAAAAATTAAAAAAAAAATGTCTGTGATAAAGTGAGATTTCTTAATATGGCTCTTCTACCCAAGTCTCTGTAACTCCCACTAAATAATAAGGTGGGACTACCCAAACAGGGTTTGTGTAACACTGAAAGAGGGTATCGGTCAGTTTTCAATTATCACCACCTCTGCCAATAAGGAAGAGCCATCTTTAAAGTAAAGGAGAGAGAAAGGCCCCGGGCCATTTTGGAAGAGACTACTGTAGATCTCTATCTAAACTGGTGAAGGCTGCCGAGGCATCAGAGACTGTGGCGCAGAGACTCAGAGGAGCTGCATTGAGACTAAAGGGTACTTTCTCCTCCTCTGGCCTGAGATGAGGAACTGTGGGCCGGAGTGACAGGTAGGATGGCTCCATAGCCCATGGCAGAAAGGCCAAGGGACCATGTGACTGAGAAACTGAGGACCAGGGACTTGGCAACCATATGGCTGAGAGGCTGAGAACCAGAGAGAGGTTTGGTTGCTGGCTAAGGAGACCAATAAGTGTATCCTTACTGTTTGCTGATCCTGACTTGTGGTAGCCCGTTAGCTAATAAACTCCCTTACTGTGAGTATTGCCTGTGAGTTCAATGAATTATCAAACCCAGCATAGGTATAGCGTGTCAGAGGAGGAGCGGTTGGCATCAAAATACGTAAAGAAGGATGGAGTATAGGGACACATTTGATTCTTGATTCATGGCAATGGAGACATCAGAGGAGATCAGAACATGTCCCCCTCCATAACTTTCATCAAAATGTGTCATTTCAATAGTCCCCTGGCCAGGCAGCCCAGGGATGAGAAATGTCAGCAGGCTGGTCCATCTTCAGCATGTGCCATTTACTGCTATGACCTATCAAATGAAATTACCGTATATACTCGAGTATACGCCAATTTTTCATCACATTTTTCATGCAGTTTTTGTGGTAAAATTAGGTGCCTCAGCTGATATTTGGGTCAGCTTATACTCAAATACATACAGTATATGAAATCCTATAAGAACATAAGAAGACTTTAGTCTAATTGTTATTTATAGTAGAACAAACTGAAAACAGTATGGCAAAGGACTGAGTTAATAAACATAGCATGTCGACCCTTAAGTATGCCAATATTTCAAAATTGTTTAATAAATAAAATTGAGAAAATATGTGATGAGACTGTCTTAATTTCCTAGTGCTGTGTGACAGTTACATAATCTGGTGTCAATTTGAGACTATTAAGAGTGAATGGGTGGTTTAGCTGGTCACTCAGGTTGAAACCTGATGACTTCATTTGGAGGCACTATGAAGAGAGTTCACTGGAGACCACACCACACAGAATTTCTCCTATGTCTTCTTGTGAAACAATCCTGTTGACAAGCCACATGGAGACACACTGATGGAGCCAGAGCCCTGGAGCTGGAGGAGCCACGTAAAGACCCGTGCCAGCACTAAGATGCTTCCACCGCCACTGGATCTACATGACTTTCCACCCACTGGCCTGTGATCTTCCTATATTCGATGTCATTGCATGTGTTTCATGAGTCTGAAGAGGAATTTATAGATTGGTATCAGACTTATGGACTTGATCTGGATTGGACTAGAATGTTTTTTCAATATACAAGTGCTCTTGTATATAAAGCTCTTTCTCATACATGAGTGTCTATGAATTGTTTATGTAGTCTGCCCAAACACACTAAGTATCAGAAAGACAACGCAAATCAACAGTGGGATGAGATGGTAATGTCCCCGGAGATAATTCTTGCCCTCTCAAAATAGATTGTCAGGCTACCTTTTAATTAGTTATCAAGACCGTCCTTGTGTGAAATTACGGTAGGTGCCCAGGCAGTTGTCCACCAGGAACCTAGTGACTTGTTAGGGCCTCATATAAACCCTGAGCATGCACACACACAGCAGCTGCAGAAGCAAAGACTTAACGCCATTTTTATTAAAAGAGCTACTTTAAAAGAAGTGAGTCCCCCTTGCTAGTTGAGATAGGCCATGTTAAGCAGTTTAGATGGTGACATTGTCTAAGGAACATTTCTAGTATTTAAATGGTCTTTCAAAGGGGAGAGGGTTGTTACTCTGCAGATGGTCTAGCAACTTCCTAATTAGTTACTCATTTGTCCTTGTGCCTCTGTTGTCTTTCAAATTAATCTGGCCTCTAGCACTGGGCCACCATGTCTGACGGTTTCAAGATGATCTCTGAGACCAGTCCTGTGTCAGGATATTCACCTGAAGGCGTTTACCAAGCCAGTTCTCACAAAGACCATTGTTCCAAAAGGGTCCTTTGTTCATTCCCTCAGCAGTCAGGGCAGAAGCCTCTGTTCTGTCCTTGTCACTAGGGTCTCTGGCACGGTTTCTTTCGAATTCGTTTCAGCTCCGGCTCCAAGTCAGCATGTTCCAGATTTATCTCAGGCACAGTTGGGCCAGAAGGTTCACCAGCCCGGGCTTCGAGGTTGTTTACCAACGCGGTTCGCACAGGGCCCTTTGTTCGCTCAGCAGGCAAAAGCCCATGCTGTTCCTGTCAAAACCTGTGTGGGACTGCCCATTACAGATCCCTTACACGAGCTGAGAAACCCATTTATAGCTAACACACCAGATCAGGTATCTGAAAGTGAGGGAAATTTTCCCACTCAATCCATGCCTTCTTCATAATCCCACCACACTTTCAGTTTCCAATCGATTCGTTGCAAACAGAAACAATATTGATGCCCCTATTCTTAGTCTTCTGCGCCTGCTATTTTTTCTCTTTTCTTATGAAGCATTTCCCCGTTTCCAGGGAAGTTAAAAGTCCGGCCTGCTCCAGTCACCTCAAACCTCGCCCACGCTGGGCCGAGGCCGCTGCGCTGCGAGGCCCCCTGTGAGGGTGTTTCTGGCGTTGCCTGTCCCCGTGCCCGCACTCGCTCGCCTCTGCGGCTCGGTCCTCCGGGCGAGCGGGGGCCCGGCCGGCTCTGGATGCCTGGCGCCTCAGGCAGTGCGGCGGGCAGCCCAGGCTCCCGGGCGCCGCGGACGTGAGAGGACCCCAGCGACGGCTGTGCTGAAGGGCCCGGCGGACGCGGCGAGGGCGGCGGGCGTGGAGATCGACTGCGTTTGCCTGGCCGTGTCCGCGCTCTCTGAGCACTTCTCTCGGGCTGCCCTCCGTACCCCGGCCGGCTGCGGGGCCCCCAGCACCATGTCTGTGAGCGAGATCTTCGTGGAGCTGCAGGGCTTCCTGGCCGCGGAGCAGGACATCCGAGAGGCGAGCCCCCTCCCTCCATTACCCTTTCTTCTCCCTGCTCCTCCCGCGGGCCCCGGCGGAACGTGGGGGGGGGGGAGGGGGGCTCTCGTTAGGCTGAGGCTGAGGGTTCGCCGTACCCCGTGCGACCCCGGAGCCCCCGATTCTTAGCTTCTGGGAGGGAACTGCTGTGAATGTTAGTTTTCTTTCTTTTCAGCCGTTGTTTTTGTCAGGGACGAGGTTAGCGCCTGGGACTCTAACGCACGTGTAATGTGTTTGTTGGTTTTTTGAAAGCGTCGGTCTCTCCAGTTTCGGTCACTGTTTCGGCCCTGGGTGAAAATGTGACTGTCACCAAATGCACGTCGCGCTTCTGTCTTCACCGTTATATTACCGATGTAACCTAGTTTTTGTTCCTAAACCCCAAATAGTTTCCTGTCCCAGCCAGGCCTCTTGCATACACCACTTGTTTTTATTGGAATGCGCTTTCCTTACTTTAAGTTATTTTATATTCATCTGTTACACCTGTTAGGTTTTCTCATAGGAATTTAATTTTTTTTCTCCATTAGGGTGGTTATTGTTGTTTAAAAACACACCTATACTTTAAACCACAAGAGGGATAACTGTTTGCATTGGTTCCCAGTGCTTAAGCAGTGCCAATCACAGAAATGTGCTCAATGAATATTTGAACACTGAATGAGCCAGGCATAAAGCCTGTATTGGGACTAATTATGTACAAATTCTATTCAAACACATCATCACTTAATTTCTTTAGTGCCCCACAGCATAATTGAAAATGGGGTGAGTGGTTATTCTTCAAAAACTAAAGAAGAATCTAAGATATTTTAGTGGTTGGTTCAAGATTCTCAGAGATGAAGTTGCAAGTGAAAAAGAGGATTCAAACTTGTGTGCAGTTCAGCCCTAGAAAAGAGCGTTTGTATTTGCATATATGGAGGTGCCATAGGTCAGCTAGGATTGATCAAGTATAAGTTGTTTTAAGCTATGTGTGTAATTATGTTGAATTTATCTGATATTTCTATTTTTAATCTTCTAGGAAATCCGAAAAGTTGTACAGAGTTTAGAGCAAACAGCTCGAGAGATTTTGACTCTCCTTCAAGGGGTCCATCAGGGTGCTGGGTTTCAGGACAGTAAGTCTTTGCTTGGTTTTGATTCAGCTTATCAATCTCTTAGAACAGCGGTTCTCAACCTCCAAGTCACGACCCCTTTGGGGGTCAAACGACCCTTTCACAGGGGTGGCCCGTTTCATAGCAGTAGCAAAATTACAGTTATGAAGCAGCAACGAAAATAATCTTGTGGTTGGGTGTCACCAAAACATTAGGAACTATATTAAAGGGTCTCAACATTAGGAAGGTTGAGAACCACTGTCTTAGAAAGTTAATTTTCATGCAGAAGACATATCTTTCTTGTCTTACTTTGTTATGAACAATGTCCACATTGTTTTGTGGCATGTGGAAATTGTATTTATAGATTTTATAGGCTTACTGTATTTGTTTTCATTAACTTTCCATTCTACATAAGTGTGATTTAAACAAATTTTAGTGTGATGAAAAGAGCCCTGGTAATGCTGCCAGGTTATCAATCATTGGACTTCTAACCCCAGGGTCAGCAGTTCAAATCCACTTTGTAGGAGAAAGATGAGACTACCTGCCCATAAAGATTTCTAGCCTCTGAACCATATGTAGAGTCTGAGTCGAAATGACTCCATGGCAGTGTGTTTAGTTTGGGGTAGCGTGCTACTGAATGAATACAGTGTAACATGCATTTGGAGGTGGGAGATGTTCGCTATAAAATATTCCAGCCAGGGTATTCTGCAGTCCCTTGAATGGAAATCAAGTATGTCCCATTAGCCACGGACGCTCCAATTTGGATGTAGCTCACACAACCTACTTAATTCAAATATATTTTAGGTGGAGATTGACATTATAAATTACAGGTGTAAATTTACTAGCAAATTTGTAATTGTTATTAACTGTTACCAAGTCAACCCCTGACCCATAGTGACCACATACACAGAGAACAAAATGCTGCCAGGGGACTGAGCCATTTTGTGGTTCACCTACTTTGATCCATAGAGATTTCATTGACTGCAGCTTGTCTCAAGGACACAGAGTTGGTTAGTCAGTTCAACAATCCTTGGTAGTAGCTCATTCGGGCTAAATCATGAGTGCTAGAAGAAATCTAATTCCTGGTTATATTCTTGGGGACTGGGTGGCCGTATCAAGTGGTAGCGATCGTTCTTTAGGGTTGAGGTCATTTACAACAGCTTGCCAATGTTGGTCACTATAAAAGACCCTCAAAACATGATCCCTTCAAGTTTATGTGTATTCTTTGGCATTAATGAGACGGGAAATTAGAGATGCTATTTTGAACTAGTAAAAAGATGTGAATTCTACATTTGGTTATGAAATTTTAAGATTTGATTGGTGTCTACAGAGGCTCCATAGATTATTAAGATCTGTATTTGAAATATGGTAATCCTTACATTATTATATTTAATTATCAGTTCCAAAGAGGTGCTTGAAAGCTCGAGAACATTTTGGTACAGTGAAAACACATCTCACATCTTTGAAGACAAAGTTCCCTGCTGAACAGTACTACAGGTGTGTAACTAAGTTAGCATTATTTTATGCTAAATTAACAAAGCAAAGTAGTAATGTACTGAAGGATTGTTGGTAACTAAGTAAAACATTTTTCTACACAGAGGCAACAACAGGAAATCAGGCAAAGTGCTAGTAGTGGTGGTATTTTAACAGTGAAGTAATGATTTTCTTCTTTGTACATCCAAAATTATACTAAGAAATATGTATTAATTTTGCAGTGAGAAGTAATAAAAAAAGAAGTGTCTATTGTATGAGAGTAAAAATACACTTTGGCTTTATTTAAGTTACTAATGATATTGGGTTGAGTTGTTGAGATCCAGGCCGTAGGCTAAACTAAGTTTTATCTCAAAGTTTACATTTCACTGCCAAGTGACTGTGCTCTTTTGTTAATTCTATACCGCCATTAATTTTAACGTACACCATTATGTATGATTAAGAAAGAGGAAAAAAATGTTGCCAGTTAAAATTGTGAAATGTAGATTATAAAATGTATCCTTATTTTAGACATACTAAACTGAAGAACAGTTGACGAAATTGGTAAGTAAGCAAAAATGTCAAAATTTAGTTTTATTACTAGAAAAGATATTTTTGAAGCTACATACCATGGTTATGTCAATAAGTGTTGCTGCTGTGGTTCTAGCGGTTCATGCACTCGTTTATTCCAGGTAAAACGTTTCTGTGGTCAGTGTGTATCAGCATAGAAGTGCTCTCAGTAATCCATACTGGTTTTGTGAGAATAGCTAAAAGAGAAGAGAAAAGATACTTTTGTGCCATGGGAAAAAATGATTTTGAGGTTAAGACAAAATTAAATTTTTAACAAAATTCAAGCAAGCATCTTCCTAAATCCTAAAGCTTTGTTACAAGTTTACAGGAATGCTGTTCCATATAGAACAACAATTAACAATTTTTAGATGACTCAGCAATTAAGGAAGGTCACAAAGACTTCAAGTATGAGCCTAAAAAATAAAGACTCAATCTTGATGAACGAACAAACTGGTTGAAGAATTTCAGAAACTGGTAGAAGAGGAATCTAGAATTACCACTCGGGGGAGGGGGCAGGAGTGGGGGAATGAGGAGCTGATACCAAGGGCTCAAGTAGAAAGAAATTGTATTGAGAATGATGATGGCAACAAATGTACAGCTGTGCCTGACACGATGGATGTGTGGATTGTGATAAGAGTTGTACGAGCCCCAAGTAAACTGATTATTTAAAGTAATTAAAAAAAAAAGGAATCACCACTAAAGTGATAGTTACTGAGGTTGGGCTCTTACAGGGTTCAGCAGCTGCAGTTTTAAGCAAATGTCTTGCCCTCAGCAAGCTTTTTTCATTGGGTCCCCAAAGTGTTACGCAGCTGATCTTTCCATTAGTCTTATTTTTGAGCAAGATGAAAACTAATGATGGTGATTTTGTAGAATGAATCGTAAGTAGGGATGAGTCTTAGATTTAGCAACATGATACAGAGTCGGGTCTAATCAAAACTGACTTCCAAGGGGATATGCTGGACCAGTTAAATTCAAGGTAGAGGGGTCCACCCACGATAACTGAGTTTTGGAACTCCAAAGAGCTAATCTGGATTTTCCATTTCCACTTCCTTGCTGTGTTTACCATTTCATTCGTCTTTCTCACCTGTCTATTTCTGACTTTTGAGTTTTGGAGTTGGATTAATGCTGCCTTTTTGATCTCATGTGATTGGTTGTTCTAAGGAGTGTGTACCTTCCTGGTGTTATGGTTTACCCTGCACATTTAGTTTGTCTATTTGAGTCTAGGGGCGAATTCAGTTCTAGGCCAGAAGAGCAATAAGCAAAGTCTGTAGTTCTGAAAGGGGGCTGCAAAGACTAAAATGTTTACTAACCTTTTGTAGACAATTCAGTGACTCCTGTATTAAGGTACTGTAATACGTGAAGCACAGAGAGGTAGGACAGGTAGAATTGGATCTTCAGAGACTACCTCATCTGGAAATTACACACAGGCTGCCAGCCTTCTGGCTGAATTTGCCTCTCAGAAGGCTAGCTTTGACCTTCATATATTTGAAATGAACTTGAATGTTACCAAAGAATCCAAGTCCATTTCAGTTTTACATACCCTCCTTTTTTAGCTACTCAGGTCAGTGTTTAGATCTGAGGGGTAAGGTATCTGGAGGGATTTTTAAGGCTAGGAGCCTTCATCTTTTTTTTTTTTTTTTAAACCTTATTTTGTGTTTTATACAAAAACATACTCTGCGTAGCTCCTCTAATCAAGTCAGTAACAGTATCCATTAAATTGCATAAATGTGGCCTTCCCCCTGCATCTTTCCTCCCTCCCGTAATTTTTTGTCCCTCCCTCTTCCTGTCTCCACCCCTGTCGCTGGTCTCCTCAAGGTCTTTTGGTATAAAACCACTTTTCTTTTTCTCTGTGTTTCCTTATAATAATGGTGTCATTAAATTTTGTCATAAGATTGTCTTAGTTTTGTTAAATGTAATGCTCTCTAGTTTTGTCCATGTCTTGCATTAAGAGTAATCATTGCTCTTTATTGATGCATAATATTCCATTGTATGAATGTACCAGTTTGTTTATCCATTTTTCTATAGTTGGAGTTTTTGGTGGTTTCCATGTGTTTGCTATTATGGAAATTGCTGCAATAAACATATGTGTGCATGTGTCTTTTCGTGTTGTATTCCTTATTTCTTTAAGGTCTATACTCAGTAGCAGGATTACAGGACCATAAGGTAGGTAGTTGTATTTGTGTTTGTTTCAGGAAGGGCCATACTGCTTTCCGTAGTGGTTATTTAGTTCTTCCGCCTCACCAGCAATGTATGAGTGTTCCAGTCTCTCCACATCCTCTCCAGCATTTACTATTTTCTTTAATTGTGCTAAGTGTGGCCTTATGAGGGGGTTGTTGTAATTTGTATTTGTTATTGATATGAACATGAACATTTCTTCATATGGCTGTTGGCCGCCTAGATGTGATCTTCAGTAAATTGTCTTCATATCTTGTGCCAATTTTTTTAGTTGGGCTATTTGTGTTTTTCTGATTAAGGTGGGTAGTTTTCAACAGATTTTTTAAGTTAGCCTTTTATCTGATGTATCATTACTATTTTTTCCCATTCTGTGGTTCTCTGTTGACTCTTTTGATGAAATCTTTTGATGTGCATAAATGTCATACTTTTAGAAGGCCCTAGTCCTTTATTTTGTCTTCTGTAATGTGGATATTTTTCATTATGTCTGGTTGTGTATTTATGCCTGGCAGTCGGGCTCTTAATTTTGCCCCTATATTTTCATTGATGGCCTTAGTGGTCTGGGATTTATAGTTCGGTCTTTGATCCATCTTGAGTTCATTTTTGTACATGGTAAGAGTCTTATTTCATTCTTTTGCAGGTGATCATCCAGTGTTTCCAGCACCATTAATTGAAAAAGCTTCTCTTCCCCACTTAGACTTTCAGTTTGTTGAAAATTTTTACTGTTCCCTTTTCATCTTCTAGCACAGTTTAAGTGTAGCACCTTAGGTTTTTAAGTCCATCTGTTTCCTGATTGCATATGGGAATTGTTTCTTTCATGTGCGAATTAGGATTTTCTTGATATTATGTATTCACAGCAGAATGTAGGAACAAGGTGTTGAGACTTAAGTATAATTACAGTTGTCACTCATAACCTTCGGTTGCAAATTTTTTCTCAGAGCATTATCACTGTACTTATTGATAAAACTTACAAATTACAGTTGTTTTGACATCTACAGTTGTAAATTTTACATCCATTAAAATTGTATCATGCTTTTCTTTGATTAAACTTATGAATTTGACCTTATAAAATTTATACTAAATTCAACTAATATATTTAACTCATATTGCTCTTGTATGTTTTCTGTATTGGAGTCTCACAGATTTTATTTGGAAAAAGTTCCTTTCAGTGTTTGAATGTGACTGTACTAAACCTGTCTTTCTCAAGTCTTCTAAACCCTAATCTCACACCCTAAACCTGCTTACATTAATACAGATTTCATGAGCACTGGAGGTTTGTGTTGCAACGCCTGGTCTTCTTGGCAGCCTTTGTTGTGTATTTGGAATCAGAAACACTAGTGACACGAGAAGCGGTTACAGAAATTCTTGGCAGTAAGTGTCCTCATTGGTGGTGATCTGCATAATCAGACATGGGAGCTTGGTCTTTCTGGGAGGGATAGTGCTTGTACTTTCTTTTTATTAAAACAGGAATGAGAACTAGATTGAAAACCAATTACATAGAAACACAATAAATATTCCATTCTTGAGTGTTTTACAAATCTTTGTTACTTTTACTTTTTAAAAATTTGGAGCCTGCAGAAAAATTCTAAGAATGGTACATTGAATACCTGTTTGCACTGCACTGAAATTCACCATTTACTAACATTCTGTCACATACTATTTTTGTGTTTACAGAGGTAGACCATTTCAGAGTCGGTTGCAGACATCGTGACTTTTCCCTTTAACGGTCAACATATCTCTAAAGATGGGCGTTCGTAAACATAAATATAGTACCATTCTCGATCATTTCTTTTTGAAAGAAGAATGGAGGAAAAAATTGAATTTTGTGTAAAGTCTTTTGCCAGGGTTGTACACACTTGAAAGAAACCAATTTGGAAGATCAATCTTTTTTTAATTTCTTTTGAGAAAAATTAAGTGTATATGTCTAGATTTAGATCTAGATAGCTTTAATCCTACATTCCATTTATATGATCCCTTAACCTGACGTTGACATATTTTCAGTTGAGCCAGACCGGGAGAAAGGATTCCATCTGGATGTTGAAGATTATCTCTCAGGAGTTCTAATTCTGGCTAGTGAACTGGTAAGACACTCTGTAAATTCCCTTTTCCTTTTTGACCTTCCCACTGACCATTTTTTAAAGCAATACAGAAATTCAGGGCAAGTATAATGTTTAGCCATCTCTCGGGGATCATGTTGTCATTGTCTATGTGGTGTGTGTTACGTTTCACTAGTCTTCAAACATGCCAGCTCAAGTGATGAGGTAGCTAGCTATGTGTGCTTCCTAGTGTGCTGGTAACTGCTAATTCATGCAATCGTTTTAGAGAACAATTTAATTTTAGAGTTATGTAAACTATTCTTGGCATTCATTTCTTTAATTGCTCTTCTGGGAAATTATAATATAAAAATAAATTGAAATGGAGAAAAGCACAGTTAAAAGTGAAAACATTAATTATATTTATGAAAAACTGTAGACCACAGCGACTTTTCCAAAAGGCAGATATTTAGTATGTTAGTAAGTGAATTTATAATATTTAGTAATTTAAAATGCTAATTGTGAAGACCAATATGAAAAAGACTTTGTGTTTAAGTCTGTAAGCCTTCACTCTGGTGGTTTATTATTTTGACTTTGAAGAAGCATATTCTATATAGTTACACTGACCACCTCTACAACTGAAATCAGTGATGACGCATCAAACTCCCATAAATGTGGATTCCACCGCCTGCCCTTCCCCCCCCATCCCATTTTCCTTCCTCCTTCCTGCCTGACCACTCCATTATCCCTAATGTCAACAACCACTCTTCCCTTTAGTATTAGTATATTCCCGCACAACCCAGGGTTCTGCATTTCACCAAAACAGCTTACAGACCCCTAAGGTAAGGGCTCACATGGTTGTGGGCACTGGTAAGGCTCAACAGCAAAGTTCAGATGTTGTATGGAGGATCCTCGTCATTTACAAGCCTGAGAGAAAGCTGGTGATATAGGTCAGATGATAAGCCCCAAGAACAGGAGGTGCATTGGAGGCAAGCCAGAGACAGGAGCCAGAGCAAGAGAACAAGGTATCAGAAATGAAACCGGATCTTGTTTGTTTCTTTACAAAACCAAACTCACTACAGTCGCCCCAGTGCCAACTCATAGTGACCCTGTGGGACACAGTCGAGCTGCCCTGTGTGTTTCTGAGACTGTTCAGGAAGTGGAAAGCCACGTCTTCCTCAGAGCTGCTAGTGGTCTTGAACTGCAACCTTGTAGATCTCAGCCTAACTCATAACTACTACATCACCAGGGCTCCCTCTTGCTTCAGCTATGCTAAAAAGCACACTGGAACTTGTCATGGCTACTCAACTCCTCCTAAGCCAGCATTGGTGTTTGCCACCAGTAACTTAACGCTAGTTGGGAAGGGGATATACAAAGATGACTTTCGTGGAAGCATGCTTGCCTTTTGCAGATCATACTCCAAGGGCTGATGAATTGAGGCATGTTCTTCAGTAAGGTGGGGAATCAAAATATATCCCACCTTAATCCAGTCTCATTTGTAAAACAGAGCTTCCTCTAAAACAGAACTCTAACTTAGACATGTAGGCTTGTATAAAGGACTAAAACATAATAAGTGGGAAAGAAGAGATAATCTGTTAAATAAATGGTGCTAAAATAATTGAATCCTCACCTACCAATGAATGAAACAAGACCCATACATCACACCATGTACAAAAATTAATTCAAGGTGGATTAAAGACTTGAATATAACCCTGAAATGATAAATACCATCAATGAAAAAAGGGTAAATTTTTAAGGGCCCTAATAAAAGGCATAAATACACAACTGAACATGATGAAATATATCTATACTCTAGAAGACAAAATACAGGAGTGGGACTTTCTAAAAATATGACAGTTATGCACATCAAAAGACTTTACAAAGAACGGTCAGATTGGGAAAAATATTTAGCAATGATTTATAGGTAAAGAGCTATTTTTTAAAATCTGTAGAAAACTACAACACTTTAATAAGAAAAATAGAATTAACCCAATCAAAAAATGGGCTTAAGACGTGAATATTTGCTAACGGTGACATCCAGGGAACCAACAATCATGAAGAAACGCTGTAGTTTTTTAGCAGTAAAAAAAAAAAAGCAGATTAAAACAGTAATGAGGTAACACCTTACACTAACATTTTTCGCAAATTTAATAATAATAAATGTTGGAGAGATTAGAACATTCGTACATTGCTGGTGGGATTGTAGAACTGTAGGTACCACTATGGAAACTGGTATGCTACTTCCTTAAATTGCCAATGCAAATCCCGGTACTTTATGATTCTGCAATCTCTCTACCTGGTTGTATTAGTCTAGGTACTTTGGAGAAACAAATCCACAGCAACTCATGTATAAGAGAGAGTTTTATGTAAAGAAAAGGTGCATCACGAAAATATCCCAACCCAATGCTGCCCAAGCCCACAAATCCAACATTAACCCATTAACCCAACACCAGTCCACAAAGTCCTCCACCTCACAAAACAGAGGCAATGATGCCGACTGCAGGAGGAAAGCTGAGTCAGTGAACGTGTAAGCATCTCAGCACTGGCAAGGGTCTCCACACGGCTGCTCCAGCACCCAGGGCTGCATCGGGATAGATCTATGCGGCTTCTCCTTGGGGATGTCTTGCAGGAAATCAACCTTGCAAGCTGAAGCAGGGAACTGCTAAGGCAGCTGCACCCGGTGCAACCATCACAAAACAAGAGACCCGAGAACTAGAAAGGCGAGGCTTCACCACCCATTTATCCCTCCGCCTTTCAACCAGCACCACATGTGATTATCGGCCAGGCTGGCACAATTAACTAACTCACTGGTATATACCCTAAAGAAATAAAGAACAAAACACGAACAGACATACGCACACACATTTATTGCAGCAATTTCTGTAATAGCAAAAAGATGGAAGCTGACTGTAGAGGAATGGTAAACGAACTTTCTTACAATGGAAAAATGTGCATACTTAAAAAATAATGAGTCTGTCAAACACTAAGATGTGGTCAGAATTAGAAAACATGCTTATCAAATCAGTCAATTTCATAAGTATTTTATAATACTATCAGTATAAAGAAAAGGAAAAATGGTTTTCACGCCCAAAGGTAAGACTTTAGACTGCGATAAGGCTGGGTACTTGGGGAAGCGACAGGAAACCATGTGGGGAGGGTAGGTGGGGAAAGAATCAGAAGGAAGGAAGAAGCTGCATGTGCGGGGGAGGCTAATGGGATTATAGCCTCAGGTATAGAGGCTACATTACAGTGTATCACAGGGGAGAACTGTCTAAGAGGAAACAGGTTAAGACCTCCACTTCTAAGAGCTTAATTTTTGCTTAGTACTTTACTAACCTCTCTGTAGGGCACAGTTTACCTGGGTGTGCACATATGTGGCTAAGATGTGAGGAATTCTGTCAATGAGGATAATGAATACTAGCTGAGACTGAAGGACAGTCTATGCCAACCATTTCAGATTTTTTACCTTGTTGGACAAACCAAACCAGTAACTCACTGTGCCTTGTTGGTATAAGTGGTGAAGGGTAAAGTGTGTTTTCAGGCCCAAAGTGGCCAAAATGTAGTAAAGGGTAAGTTTAGGGAAGCAAAGTATAGTAGGAAGGACTTTTATAGAGAAGGAAGATCTTGAGTTGGTTCTCAAAATCTTACCTGCTCTTTAGGACAGTATCTTGACTTAATCTAGCTTCTTAAGCCAATATTTTGGCTGACTAAAAAGTAAAAGTACTTTATAGTGACAGCTGTGTAGCTCAGTAGGAAGGGCCTAGAAACGTAGCCATTTTGCCTAGATGTGAGGAGATAGCAGAATAGAAAGAAATACTGTGGCATTTCTTTTATTTGCACACAAGCAAAAATGAGCTTAAAGTTGACACATGAATAATCTAATAATATTACCAAATAGTCAATTTTTAGAATTAGGACGATTTTAGAAAATGTTAAATTGCATTAAACCTTTGGTTGACTAAAATTGCCTCATTGTCCTGTTTTCTTTCCAATTGAGACCTTTACATCAGTGTTCACTCACTGGAAGAGAGAGAGCATCATTGTCTCTGTTCGGGCCTAACGTTCTCTTCATAGTTGTGATTGGGGTGAAGATGTGTTAAAGGTAATATGTCCTTGTTTGTCTTGTACAGTCTAGGCTGTCGGTGAACAGTGTGACTGCTGGAGACTACTCCCGGCCCCTTCACATCTCCACCTTCATCAATGAGCTGGATTCTGGGTTTCGCCTTCTCAACCTGAAGAATGATTCATTGAGGAAGCGCTACGATGGCTTGAAATATGATGTGAAGAAAGTAGAAGAGGTGGTCTATGATCTTTCCATCCGTGGTTTCAATAAGGAAATGGCCGCTGCTTCTGTAGACAAATAGGCTCTCTCCCTGCCCTGGCCCTGTTTACCTCAACGGCTGCCAGTGAGAGTGAGCACAGTGCCGCTTAGAGGAGTTTGGATGCCCAGTTGCTAAACACTACGCTTTATTTTCTTAACCAGTTGTGGTGTATCAGAAGTAAAACATCTTTGGTGGTTAAAAAAAAAGCAAGGGCAGACTTTTCTTTATTGTTTCAGTGAATTTGCTCTGTAATTCCATGTGTTTTAGTGTGTCAAGAAGTGTAAATGTCAACCTCTTGGTAAAGCCCTTTTCTTGTGTATTGATACCAGTATAATCTTGATGTGTTGTTCAGTTTATTGTCTTGTTTGTAACCCTTCCAGACATGACGTTTGATGTTTTCTATATTCCAAGTTAGCCATCTAGACACAGGTGTGACCTGGATAGAGTGTTAAATAATTAAAAAGAATGATTGCCAATTAGAGGCAATGAATAAATTATTTTATATTCTTCCTGATTGTAAGCCTTGTGAGTAAATCCAATGTTGAATTTTTTTTACAAGAGAAACTGGGTTGGGCGTAGGGGTGGGTCTTTCACTGCCATGAGGATACAGGAGAAGCCAACTGCAAAGGCAGGCTCAACAGGTTATTAGGAAGTTCGTATAGTAAAGAGCTTAGTAAGGTCTTGTTGCAAGCTGTGTTTTAAGGAACACTGCCAAGTGGGGAGCAGGGTTTAATGTTTTAAAACACATCTGTCTGATGTTGCCTTAACAGTCTATTGGAAAGCAAATGTGTGTTAATCTTAATAATCACACACATCTTGAACTTAATGGGTCAATTAGGGTATTTTGAAAAGTTCATGAAAAACGTAATTAGAAGAAAATGTGATTTTTTCCACGAACTTTAAAGAACCCTTGTGAAACCCCTCCACCTTTTAGCAACTACCTAACGTTTTAATCTGAGAGCATAAAGCCATTTACGTGCATTAATTAACAATGCCCTAACTAATGTATCCTTTGAGAAAATGCCATGCTTTGTGGGGAAGGAAGTTCAGCTTGATTTTTTTTTTTTTTTAAGAGTAAGAACATTCAGTTGTTGATGGCTATCCTAACAGAAATCCTTACAGTTTGAGCCAAGTCATTTAAATCCTAGTGGCCCTACTCATTTCAGATCGTGCTAAGACTTTCTACCGGGTAATTTGCTGTGGGCTCTTCATTTGGAAGTAACCTGTTGACTTAATCCATAGTCCTTTGGAGCTCACTAGAAGGAAGGTGCTTAACGTTTCAGAATAATATGAAGTGTTTAGAAATGTCACCTTATGCCCAATCCTAATATTAGTCTCTTGTTTATATGGTAGGGTATTTGGCATTGCCACAAGAGATTTTTATGTCGGGCTGAAAGGACTGACTAACCCAAAGAAGATAGAAATGAGGTATCACTGAATTTTAGTACCGCTTTCTTGATAGATCCTTCTGCACAAGATCTTGTTTAATGAAAAGTGTTAGGTTCATAAAAGTGCCTGAGATAGTTACCGAAAATGTACTAGAGTAACTGCTGAATTGAGCATAAAAACTTAGTGATGTGATCAGACAGATGCACGAGATTTGATAATGGTTTCTGCTTCTGTAAGTACTGATTGTGCTTAAGAATATTAAAACTTTTGGCAGAAGTTCTAAATTTTAGTTTTAACATATTTTAAGAGAATTAGTACATTCATGTTTTGTCATTCTGTTAGAATTCAGAAATGCCATGTTTATAATTACTCAACTGTGTTGCTGGCTTGTAAAGCAATAAAAACTTTTTTTTTTGGTCTCTTTGTTGCTGTGACAACTCTTCTATGTGGAGAATAAGTTCTGAATATCTTTTGCTGCTGAAGATGACCTGAAATGATGAACATATTAGATTGTGTAGTTACAGCATTAATCAAAAGATGCTAACCATTCTGTTCTTTACTGTAAGGTACAGGTAATGGTTGTATGGCCTACCTTGATGTGGAGTTAAAGTTGCCTTAATTGAGGATGTTGAGAAGCCTATCTGGTTTGGGGATGGCAGAATTTTTTTCTTTTTCCTTCACTTTCGAGAGAAACAAGAAAGTAGAGGTGTATTAGGGGATGCTTATATTGCTTACTTAAAAGAAGAGGAGTACCAGCCATAAGACTTGGTAATGTGTGCCTTGTCTTGAGCTTAAATAAGCGTATGACTCAATGCGTAAGGGAATTTAAAAGAGGGGAAAATGATGGGCTTTGGGGTCTTAAATAAGGAACTAATGAGATTAGGTACTGGAATGGTTTTATGATTCTGTACGGAAATGCCTTGTTTCTTGTTCTGGGTTAAAAAAAACACACGTTCTTTTTCTGATAGTCTTCCTGTCATTTCTAATAAAATGAGACTGAGCTGGACTAATTTATATCCTTAGTATTCACTGTAATAAGCTTTAAACAAGTAAACCCACTTCCCCCAATTAGCGACAAACATTTAAGGGAGACAAAGAAGCAGGTACAGTGATTGTCTGTATTGCACTCTTCTGGGATTGAGCCCTGCCCTGCTAATAACATACTTTCTCTAAGACGTTTGTTCATCAGGCAATCCTTGGTATAGATAGGGATGGGGACCCTTTTTTCTGCCAAGGGCCAATTAGATACAACATTAATTATGGGTCATACAGGTCAAACAACTCCCCTACTGATTTCTGGAACTGCTTGTCTTTGGTGAGCTGTGTGGTACTAGCTGGTATTGATTTCAAAGACCATATATGCTCATAGGCTAGATGTTCCCAACCCTGGTGTGTGAGTCAAGGTTGACTAGAGAAGTAAATCCAGGGATACTCCTATACAAATAAGGTTTATATCAAAGAGAATTGAAAATCGCCCAGTCCAGATCAAGTCTGTAAGTCCAACATTAACCCATAAATCCAACACTAGTCCACAAATTCCTTTTCAAGTGGGTGAAGGGAGAAAAGTGGTATGAGACATGGGAGAAAAATTATAAATTATAAATTATCAAGGGTTCATGAGGGAGAGGGAAAGTGAGCTGATATGGACTCAAGTAGAAAGAAAATGCTTTGAAAATGATGGCAACGTGCAAATATGCTTAACACGATGGATGTATAGTTTGTGGTAAGAGCCCCCAATAAAGTGATTTTTTTTAAAAACTGACTCAGCACACACACTGATACTGAATGCAAGAAGATCACAGGCTGGTAGGTGAAAAGTCTTGGAGATCCAATTACTCAACGCTGGCAGCGTTCCTCCCTCTTGGCTCCTCCAGCTGTCAGAGTCTCAGCAGGAAAGTGAAGTTCAGAGAAAGTGGCCCACTTTCAGGGAGAAAGGAAATTCATAGAATCCGCATGAGAAGGCCATGCCCATACACGTGGTTATCAGGCTATGACTTGATTGACAGGCTAGACTCCACCCCTGTACTACTTTATCAAGTTGACATGAAATTATATAACTGCCGTAACCGGTTATAGGTAATCTTTGTCAACGCTATAAAGGCATCAGTTCTGTAGTCTTCCTTAATCATTGTCCACCTTTTACATGCATATGAGGCTACTGAAAAATGCCATGGCTTAGAATAGGCACACCTTAGTTATCAAAGTGTTGCCTCTGCTTTTTAACACTTTAATGAGGTTCTGTGCAGCAGATATGCCCAATGCAATATGTCATTTGATTTTTTGACTGCTGCTTGCATGGACAATTGTAGATCTAAATAAAATGAAATTTTTGGCAACTTTAATATTTTCTCCATTCATGCTGTTTATCCAATTGTGAGGAGTATTATTTTCTATACATTGAGTTAAAATCCATACTTAAGGTTACTGTAGTATTTGATCTTCATTAGTAAATGCTTCTAGTTCTCTTTCACTGAGCAAGGTGGTTGAGCCCTCCAATCCTGATGCAACATTCTTCATATTGTCCAGCCTTTTGGATTATTTGCTCAGCAGATAGACTCAATAAGTGTGAAAGAATACAATCCTGAGGTCTTATGTTTCCTGTTTTTAAAGCATGCCGTGCTTCATTATTTTGCCTGGCTGCCTCGTGGTCCATGTGAAGTTTCTGTGTCAGCATAATTCATTGTTTTGGAATTCTCATTCTTCATAATGTTAGCCATCATTTGTTAACCACACAGTTGAATGTTTTTCATAGTAATTAAAATATGGGAACTATTGCTCAATCCTTGCTTTCAGCCAAGATCCATCTGACATTAGCAGTGAGTTGCCCTGTGTTGTACCCTCTTCTGAAAATTTGTGGCATTTTCCTGCTGATGAACGGCTGTTACCATTTTGAATTATCTTCAACCAAATTTCACTTCTGTGTGATGCTAATGATACTTGATGATGTCCATATTATTTCGCATCACCTTTCTTTAGAATGAAATCAAATATGGGTCACTTTCAGTCAGTTGGCCAGGTAGCTGTCTTCCACATGTCTTGGTCTAGATGAGTACTTCCAGTATTAAATATTTTGGTTGAAACTTCCAGTTGGTATTCTACCCATTTCTGGAGGCCCGTTTTGGTCACATACCTTTAGCGCAGCTTGGACTTCTTCAGTACAGCAGTTTAGCAACAGGCAAATCTGCATGGCGCTACCTATAGTTCTTGGCAAGCTCGCCGAAGCCTCCCATTTCTCAGGCGCCAACCAGCCTGCTGCAGTTCAGTGTTACCAACTCTGTATTTGACATTTTAATATATTTAATATACATGTATAATACAAGAAAGCTCAACTTAATTAAGGAGTTAGTGAAAATATAAGACAAAAAACTAATAGAAATAAAGAAAACCATTAGAATGAGGATCTGAACAAGAGATGAAAAAGAATGTATTCAGGTATTGCACCTGAATGGGAAAGTAACTGAAATGAGAAATACAATGAAAAAAAAGTCTATGAAGCGGTTTAATTAGGCATAAAATAGTGAAATTATATGCAAAAATATGATAGTTAAAATTATAGAAACTGAAAAAGAAAAAAGTTTACCAAGACTAAACCATAGTTTAATGAAATTGTGGAACAAAAAAAAGACCTAATATATGCATTGTGGGAATTCCAGATGAAATAATGGCAAAATTTCCCCAACCTTAAAAATTAAGCTTTACATCCAAGAAACTAAAAGCAAACTACACCAGAAAAATCTACCCAGAAACCCATTACAGTTATATTCTCAAAAAAGAAACGAAAACCCAAAGAATATTGAAAGCAATTCGAAGCTAACAGTCACATACAACACATCTCCCAATAAGATTTTCAGTCATTCCTCAGAAGCACTGATGGTCAGAAGGCAATAAAACGATACATTTAATGAGCTGGAAGAAAAAAGCACCCCAGTTAATGAGAAGTACTATATTCAGAAGGAGCAGACATCCAGCAATGGATGGCCTAAGCATACATCCTACACAGAACCTCTACAACAAGGACAGGAGAGACCAACTGAAATAGATATGTATGATCCCTGACCTGAGTTTCAGAGAAGAGGATTAAAGAATTGCACTGAACACTGAATGAGCTGAACAAAGTGGTCTGAGAGGAGACAGAAATGAGAATTGTTTGTTGGCCTCACATGACCCTAATCAGATCCAGGGTGGTGCCTGGTGATGAGAAAAGAGGCAAGTGGTAAGTGGCTAAGGCCAACCTACAACCATCAATTAAATGCAAATACAATAGTACCACAATGAAAAATCACCTACTAAGGGGAAATAATAGGAAAAAATTTTCAGTAGAAACCTTGCAGGCGAGAAGGAAATGAGATGGCATATTTAAACTCTGAAGAGAAAAAAAATGCTAACCAAGAATGAAATACCCAGAAATACCATCTCTGTATTATGATAGTGTACTTGGGAACAAAAAAATCCCCCCAAACTCAAACTCATTGCTATTGGTTGGCTGCCAACTCAGAGACTATAAGATGAGGTAGAACTGTCCCCTGTGAGTTTCCAAGACTGTAACTCCACAGGAGTAGAAAGCCCCTTCTCCTGAAAAGGAGGACATTTCCAGATAAAAAGCAATTAAATGAATTTTTGAAAATCAGATCAATCTTATAAGAAAGAATAAAAGGAACTCTTTGGATAGAGAACCAGCAACAGTACACAACAACCTAAGATTAATTAATGTGGCAACACCATCCAGAGGACAACCCAGATAGAGAAATAACCAAAGAAAAACTATATTCAAGATTGAATATATGGAATTATATTCAGATAGCAATTTGTAAACAAACTCAATTGGGGGGTTGGAGTAAAAGGGAGCCGATGTCAAGGAGTCCAGGGAGAAAAGGAATGTTTGGAAACTGATTGTGGTAGCAATTGTACAATTCTGCTTGATGTGATTGAACTATGATATGATATATGTATTAACCACAATTAATAATACATTTAAAAAGTAGAGGGCCTACTGTAGTTACCAAACTTCAAATTGGAGAGACATTCAAGAAGATTTCAAGAGAGTATAGGCTTTTAAGCTTGGAAAAACTAAATTACAGTAACTTCAAAGAAAATGAATAATTCTCATAACAATGAAAAGGAAAGATAAAAATTCAGTGAACACGAAAACAGTAGCAATGAGGGAAATGACAAGAAAAGCCACAAACAACCAAGCACAGAAAGTTTTGTGAAATGTACAAGTAGTGCAACAACAAAATACAGCAAAATAACAGTAATAAATTAATGCTGCCATTGAGTCAATGCCGACTCACAGCAACTTATAGAAGGTAGAATGGCTCCGGTGAGTTTCTGGGCCTTTAACTCTATGCGAGTAGAAAGCCTCATCTTTCCTCTTCATCATTATATAGAATGTGTTTTGAAACAAAAAGTTTAGGTATTG